AAAATTTTTAAAAAACAGAGACCAGAGGTAGTGGGATGACATATCCAAAGTGTTAGAGAAAAGGACTATTGATCAAGAATTCTATATCCATGCCCTGGCTGGCTGGCTCAGTTGGTTGGAGCATTATCCTGTACACCAAGAAGAATTCTATCTCCAGCAAAACTATCCTTTAAAAATGAAGGAGAAACTAGGACACCCTCAGTAAAAAACTGAAAAGACCTGTTGTACAAAAAATAAAGGGAGTCCTTAAGGTTCAAATTAAAAGACCCCAGGCAGTAACCAAAATTCACATGAAAAATATAAACAGCACCAATAAAGATAACTATGCAAACACAAAAGATAGTATAAATATGTTTGTAACTCTTTTCTGTTCCTATCTGAATTAAAAGAAAACTGCATATAGCAATAATTTTAAAACTGTCAATGGGCTTTTAATGTGAAATGTGATTTGAATGACAATAAGCATACAAAGGAGGGGGAAATTAACAGAACTGCATCAAAGCAAGGGTCTTGCATACTATTGAAATTAAGTTGGTATAAATCGGAAACAAATTGTTTTCAAATATTAACTATAATTACCAGGGAAATAAAAAAATTATAAAAGAAATAATAAGTTAATTAAAATATACACTGGAAAACATTTAATACAAAAGAAGACAATAATGGAAGAACAGAAACTAAAAAGATATAAGACACGTAGAAAACAAATAGCAAAATGGCAAATGTAAATCCTAATGGACAAGTAATTATATTAAATGTAAATGGGTAAGACATCCAAGAGCCAAGAATGACTGCAGCCCTGACTGGTGTGGCTCAGTTGGTTGAGCACATCCCACAAACTGGAAGGTTATTGGTTCAATTCCCAGTCAGGGCACATGCTTAGGTTGTGGGTTCAGTCCCTGGTTGGGGCATGTACAAGAGGCAATTGATTGATGTTTCTCTCCCTCTCTTTCTCCCTCCCTTCCCCTCTCTCTAAAAATAACAAAATCTTTTAAAAAATGAATGACTGTGCAAGTATGAGTTGACCTGTTAAGCAGCCAAGATATAGTTGGTCAGCTTGCAAATCTGTGAATTCAAGATCCGCTTTATATTATTTACCAAACTGACTCATTCAACCAATTTTGTCATTTCTAAAATATACCAAGAAATGTATAAAGAAGTGACAAGAAGGTAAATAAGGCATTGTGATATTATAATATAATAATTATTATCGATTAGAATATATGGTATATTAAGTCTTCATCCTTGGTTCCTCACACAGAGCTCTATAATCACTGGAATTTCTTAAAAGGGGTAAGAGGAGCATTTTTTTGTTATACATAATAAGCCCCTTTCAACCATATCTTGGAGGGCGGGGTTGGTAACCTCCAAAAAGAAAGAGGCAGTAGATTAAGTTAATTACCAGTGGTCAATGATTTAATTGGTTAGGCCCTTGTAATAAAGCCTCCGTAAATACCCTAAATGAGGGATTTGGGAGGCCTTCTAGACTGGTGAACACATGAAGATGCTGGAAGGATGGCATGCGGGGAGAAGGCATGGAAACTCCATGCCGTTTCCCACACACCTTGCCCTATGCATCTCTTCCATTTGGCTATTACTGAGTTACAGCCTTTATAAAAAACAAGTAATGATAAGTAATGACCTTTTCTAAGTTCTGTGAACCATTCCGGCAAATTACCAACCTGAGAAAGAGGTTGTGGGAAGCCCAGATTTATAGCCAGCTGGTATAAATTAAAGCACAGGTCACAACCTGGAACTTGCAACTGGAATCTTAAGTGAGGCATAGTCTTGTGGGACTGAGTCCTTAATCTGTGCAGTCTGTACTAACTCGATGTAGTGTCATAATTGAGTTAAATTGTAGGACATCTAGTTGGTGTCTGGATAATTGAAGACTTGCTTAATATAAAGGGAAAACCCACATATTTTGTGTTAGAAGTTGTACGTAGTGTAGAAGAAACAGTAGTTTGTCTTTAGGCATAGTCCCAGACCTCAAGAAATTCCTAGTCTTGAGAAAAAATGGACCCATGAGAAATAATTTACAAAAAATGTGATAATAAATACATGCACTTTAATAAGGTACATGTAAAAAGTACCAGGAAAGTAAGCAACAAACCATGTCAAAAACTGGCAGTCATCCTGATTTTTAAAGGATGAGTTAAATATTAAAATTCCTTAGGGTTCTACCACTCCCTCTTCAAGTGCTCAGCCCAGTTCTCAGCACTGGCTGCATATTACCATCATATGGGAAGCATTTTTTAAATGACAAGGACTGGGCAGGGTAGGTGGAGTTGGAAAAGGGAGGTGGTAAGGGGGATAACTGGTTATGGCAAAAAATTTTTTTAAATAAGACTTTTGCCTTTTACAAATAAATAAATGACAAGGTCTGGACCCACACCAGACCAAGTGAATCAGAACTTCTATGGGTGCCTTGACCCCTCATCCTTATTATTATTATTACTATTTTTTTGAGAGGGGAGGGGAAGGGAGGGAGGAAGCGAAGGACAAATAGAGGGAATGAAACACTGCATGTGCCCTGACTGGGCACTGAATAGGCAACCCAAGCATGTACCCTGACTTTTTGCTTTGCAGGACAATGCTCAATCAACTGAACTACACTTGTCAGGACTAATCCTTACTTCTTAAAAGCTCCCAAGGTGTTTTAAAGTAGTGTCTGAGTTGAAAATGACTGACTTGATATTTAGGGGAAATATAGCACAGGCCTGAACCAATCCTCTGGCAATGAGGAGATAAAGATTTCAGGTAGGAACAACAGGATCTACCATAGCCTTAATGTCAGAAGAGAAGAGGATGCTAAGCTTCCTAAAGTAAAGACCTTGAATAGAAGGAGTGTCTGCATACGTGCTTGAGGGGGCTATGAGTAGAGGGAAGGGAAAGGAAAAGATAACCAAGTTTGAAGTACCAGGTATCCATGTATAGTTATCTACTAGACAGATAAAAATAAGAAACACCTTAAGTCCAAGAAAAAATCGGGACTGGATATACATCTTTGAAAACCCTAAGTATACAGGTATTATTTGAAGTCATTAAAGGAAGTGTAACCAGATAAGGAAATTATGGAGAACAGAATAAGAATACAGAGGGAGATAAGAGATGTTAGCCTTAGATAGGAAGACTTACTCTGTTCAAAGAAAAGATCAGAAATCAGATAGGTACAGGCACACAGAAAAATGACAGACCCTGAAGAGTTCAGGGCTCGTGCCTACCAATTTCTTCCGTGAAGTAGGAGGCAAAATAAACAATGAAAAGAAGTGCAGAGTAGGACAAAGAGTTAGAGGAGATGCTGAAAATCTGTGAACAGTCATTTAGGCTTTTAGTACCTAAGAGGAACCTAGGGGGTTAGTCAAAGCATGTCAGGCAATTGAGAGTAAAGTTGGAATCCAGTTTAGAATCACACCAACAGCTGAGTTACATGATTTTCTCCAGCCTGCTCTGGAGATTCCAGGAGCAGGAAAAAAGCCAACTAACTGTTTGATTCATCCAGGCTTGGAGACCATCACAGCAAATGTGGCAAGAGTGACTTGAGGCCAGTAACATTGCTTTTATAATTTTAAAAAGTAAAATTTATATTACTCTGGGAAATGGACTGCAGCTCGCTCTTTCCTCTGATAGACAAGACTGTTTTGGAGGCACAGAGGCAGGGGGTTGGCTATTACTCTTTCACTCTCAGACAACTTGTCAGAACTGTCATTCCTAAGCAATTTTGATCCCTTCAAGTAGCTGATTGCAAGAAATCTAAACGTGATTTCTCCAAACTCTTAAAAGATGAAAATTCACTGCAGGACTGGACTATCCAGCTGAGACAAACACATTAAACACTTCTTACATACAATGCTATTTCAGTTAAGAGGTAGGAGCTCTTTCCTAAAAAAAGATGGGGGGGGAGGGGAATAAGGGAGTAATTAGACTGCAAATCTCACTAAAAATTGCTAACAAAGCCAGTTAATATAAAATAGCATAAAACAATACATAAAAAATATAGAACATTACATAACACAAAGATTTATTCAATTCTTCTGAATGTATGCAGTGAGTAAATAACTGACAATTTAATAATCCCCTTATCACATCTGGAGTTCACTAATTCATCTTGCTATCACTCAGACCACTCTAAGTTAGTGGGTAATCCCTGTGGATACTAGACCTCTTGCTACCACCATCTGGAGAGTGTAAGTACAAAGCCTAGAAGGAAGTCTAAAGGACTAACATGTGTAATCATCCACCATGTGCCAGGCCTACTGTGTACCAGACTCCAGGCAAGGCACTTTACATATTAGCTACAGCTCACTCAAAAACGAATTAAGATGTCAAAACTGTAGATGTGGCACACAGGACAGTTAGTGTCTGCAAATCTAAAGTGTAAAGGAAAAGTGTTAGCTATGATGGTTGATGAAAAGTGAGGGGGGAAGAGGTGAGTCTGGAGAGGAAGGGATCTGGGAGCAAATGGGCAAGACCCCGGACATGTGGGGGAAGGGGGGGGGGTTGCTGAAATGCAGAGCACGAGGTACAAGGGGCAGAGATGAGGATGAGCCTGCAGAAGCAAAACCCAGGGAGAGGTAAGGGCAAAAGTCCTAACGCCACGGGAGGGAGTGGGGGGCGTCCCATCCTGGAAAGGCACCCCGAAGGACTTGGGGGGAGGGGGGCGCTGAGACGCGGTGTCAGCGCAGCTAAAGGGGAGAGGCGAAGAGGGGGCAGGAGGCCACTGCAGCCGGGGCGAGCTGGGCAGGAGCTAGGCAACCGCGAAGCCCGAGACCCGAGACCCGGAAACGCTGGCGCTGGGGGAAGTGGGGTGCGCACAGGGGTCGGCCTGTCCACGACGTGAGGCGCTGAGCTTGTGGGGCGGGGCGGGACCACTGCCCAGGGCAAACCGGGAGATAGGCGGGTGAGGCGAAGTGGAGTCAAGGGATGCCAAGACCAGGACGGAGCCGGGTGGGCAGCGGCGGGCGGGCAGCGGGCCGCAGCGAAAGCGGCGTCCCCCTTACCTGGGATGAGTGAGGAGCCGCCGCGCCGCCTCCCCAGCATCCTGGGCTCGGCCGCTTCTCCCAACGCCTAGGTGGGGGCCATTCTGCCCACCCCAAGAGCCCTCCCTCACGGCCAGGCGCCAGCAGCTGCCCGCCCTGCCCGGCCCTGCGGAGCGGCGCGGAACCGACCCGCACCCTCGGCCGCCTCAACAGCGACTCCCGCTGTTGCCGCCTCAGTGCCTGCCCCCAGCCTCCCGAGGCAGGCGGAGGATCACACGCCTGCGGGGATTGGTTGCCTGGCGCCCACCCGGGCGATGTGTCAGCCTCTCTGATTCGTGGGTTCTGCAAGCTCCCCGCGGAGGCGGGGCCCTGAATTGTGCCTAGTCCCCGGGGCGCTGAGGGGCCTGGGTGGGCCTGACGCTGTGGTAGGGGTGGGGGGCGGTCCCACTTCCGGAGGGTGAACGCTATTGGCAGGGACTCGGGGTGCCACCTGCCTGGGCAGGTTGTTGCCCCAACAATGGTGTGTGTGGCCTGGATGGAGGGGATCCTCGTTGAGGTGGCTGGCTGCACTCAGCCCCTACCCTTCATGTGGGTGGCCTTCATCCGTGAAACCCTGGAATAGGGCAAGAAAATGAGCTTTCTCAGGACGTTCACCCTCTTTGCTCACTGCCTCAAATACCAACCCTGTGCTCACACCAGCAGATGAGCTTTTATCTCATTGGAGATAACTCAAATGGAAATAGATTCCAGCAATATTCCACACCACACAAAAGTATAAATGAGTAAATTCTGTTTCCAAGGAAGCTCTACAAGGAAAAGGAACTGATCCCTGAAAAAAAGAAGAAGAACTGAAAACTGGGAAAAGAGAAAAGGGCAGAGGGGGAAGGGAGACATGGGGTGGAGGAGGTGGAAGGGAGCTGAAATTTAACAACTGAAAATTAACTGATTCCTTCTGTGAAAATGAATAAAGGAAACCTCATCTAAAATGAAGTCGGGAGACCCTGAAGAGGTAGTGCTCAAGCACTAATCACTCCCTGCACCTTGTAGACTCCCAGAGGAAGAAATGGTTCTTACAGGGAAGAAATTGACTTTACTACTCCAGCAGGAGGAAGATTTTCTTATCCAGCAACAACCCAGCCAATTAGTAGCTTAGTAGCCATCACCGCCCTGAACTCTGGCTCTCCTCCAATGGACTTTTCCTTCACAGCATCCCCTCCCAATTTCCTTTTCTTTATAAGGTTCTTCTCCTTTGTTCTCTTGCCAGCAGTTTGCCATAGCTTGCATGTCCTGGATTGCAGTTCCTCTACTATTGCCAAATAAACCTATTTTACTGGTAAAATAACCTTTTCATTTTTAAGGTTGACACTTCCTACAGGCATGGCCACACCAGGTTCTGTCAAAGCAATTATTTCAACTCTATGACCATAGACTAAAGAAAGTGTGCACTTAGGAATCTAACAGCAGTGTTCAAACTTGATGTCTACCATTCTGGAAGTTCTGTTATCAACAGAATGAGGTCTACAGAATATGAACCTTAGAAAGTTACTGTAAAAATCAAATGAAGTCCACACAAAAATTTGTGCACCGATGTTCATAGTAGCATTATTCATAATAGCCAATAAAGTGGAAACAAACCAGCTGTCCATTAACTAATTAGTGAATAAGCAAAATGTCATATCCATACAATGCAATATTATTCACCCATGAAAAAGAATAAAGTATGATACATGCTACAACGTGGATGAATCTTGAAAATATTACAGTAAGTAAAATAAGCTAGTCACAAAAGACCATGTATTGTATGAGTCCATTTATGTGAAACGTCCAGAATAGGCAAATCCATACAGACAGAAAGTAGATTAGGGGATGCCTTAGGCTGAGGAGATAAGGGGGGAAATGGGAAGTGACTGCTAATGGGAATAGGGTTTCTTTGGAGGCAATTCATGAAAATATTCTAAAACCAATTGTAGAGATGATTGCACAATTGTATAAATATACTAAAAACCACTGAATTATGTAAGTAGGTAAATTTTATGGTATGTGAATTATATCTCAATAAAGCTTGATTTTGTTTTGTTTTTTTAAGATCAGATGAGCTAACAAACCTCTGAAAGCCCCTGCCTATGGTACCTCTCCAAGAACAAGTGTTCAGTATACCTAACTTTATCTTTTTCTTTATTCAACTGGCAAAATCTTGTAAGCAGTTTGATCTGAGGAAATTTAAAGAAATACTCACCAAGATAGTTTTCTTTGGAACACCTCAATCAAATGAAGATGATTTGACACAAGCTGTTTTAGGGATTACAAGGTCATCGAAAGAGAATGAGCAAGGTCAGTAGTCAGAGAGCAAGGGCAAGGAAGGAAGGAAATAGCACTGTATGAGGTGATTATGGATAGATCCAAAGTCATTCAACGAGTTTTTATCATTAAGTGCTATGACCCATGTCACCTTCCACATTACAGACCCTTCAAGAAAAGAGCTCACCATTACTCGAGTAAGCTGAAGCCACTGCCAGCGCCAGTGGGCATTAATCCCATAAACACAGCCCCTGCCAGCCTCTCTCCACAAACCAGAAATACAGCTCTCTGAGATGACCTCTGCACTGCTTAGAAAATGTGTTGCCCACCTATAAGATCTCAAAAAAGAACTGAATAGCCAGGTGGGGTGGGGGGAGGCTAGCACTTGTACCTCATGTATTAAGCTGAGAACAAATTCCAGACAAGGGCAAGAGCAGAGTACACAAATCCCTTTAGTAAAACCTGGCAGGGTGGTTGGCTCCCTGCCCGTCACATGGCAGGATGTCTGTCTCCCTGAGCAAGACAGCTTCAGGTGGCCCCAGGGCCACATTGTGGCAAGCAGTCAAAAGCTTGATCTGAAGCAAAGCCCAGGGTCACTTGGGAACAAGCTTGTTCTGCTTTCTAAATCTACCCCCAACCCATATAGTATATGTACTGAGGGGAGCAGAATTTTGCTACAACAAAATATACCTTTTATGGGATATTGATTTTTTTTATTTGAGTACATTTATTAAAGCTGGGAACAATGAAACAAGAAAGGGCTAAGGAAAGAAGAAACAACAGGGGAGACACTGAGCAGGATGCGTTGGCTCTCTAGAAACATTACGGGGAAGAAGCCACAGCAGGGCTGCTGTCAGCTCACTGCAGAGTCAGCGAAAAGGGGACCTTAGGGACAGGTTCAGGGCGTTAGCCCAGGAGGAGCTGCCATTGCTCATTGCTCCCCTGATTGCAAGTCTCTGGGGGTCCCTTATAGTTTAGGAGATGCAGGCCTGTGGGGGAAGGAGAGGAGAAGGGGAAGATGCAGGCATGCTCCCAGAACGGAGAGCACATCTGCCATATTTATTATTTTAAGCTGGTTATTTTTAAGAACCAAACAGTCAGGAAGAAACTTTGACCTTCCCACCAAATGCCTAAAAGAAGTTAGATAGGCCCAGGAAAAGAGCTGCCGTCATAGATAACTGTAGTTTTATATGAACTAGTGTAGCACTGACCAGGTGACTCAGTTGGTTGTAGTGTTGACCCATACACCAGAAGGCTGCAGGTTCTGTCCCTGGTCAGAGCACATACCTAGTTGGTATGTTCGATCCCTGGTTGGGCACGTACTGGAGGCAGCTGATCAATGTTTTTCTCTCACATCAACATTACTCTCTCTCTCCCTCTTTCTCCTCCTTCTCTCTCTAAAATCAATAAACATATCCTTGGGTGAGAATTATACACACACACACACACACATGAACTAGTGAGTAATAGACAAGGAGGGACCTTTGATCAAAGACCTCTCTGCGTGCCACTATTAAAGATAGTCCAGCAAACATTTATTTGCCAAACATTTGAATTGCCTTCTTCCCAGTTGAATTCCCAAACCACAACCCTCCACCCGCACCTTAACTCAAGATGGCAAATAAGCCTCAACTGCCCGATTTGTCCTCAGGCCCCATGTTCTTAAGTAACCCCCCTATAAAATTAATTTTGGTTGTTTTTTTCCCTGTTAATCTGTCTCATGTCAGTTGGATTACTAGACCAGCCAAAAGAACTCAGAGGAAAAATTTCCCCTCCCTCACAGAACTAATAAGAAAAAAGACTCCAAAATATACTCTAAGTAAAAATAAAAAAATTAAACACTGTGTATATAATATGCCCATTGTATTTTTGAGTACACACAGGCATGCACGCCTGTGCTTGATTTTCAGAGACGGTCTCTAGAAGGTGCACAGGGAACAGGCAACAGTGGGTGTGTCTGGCAGGAAAACTGAGGGACATGAGCACAAGAGTGGGAAAGAGAGTTATTTTTCACTGTATTCTCTGAAATTTTGTGCAAGGCATTTATTTGGATTACGTACTCAAAATGAATAAACATTTAATTTTTTCAATAAAAGAACTTTCTCCTGGAGAACTCACTGTTTAAGCCTCTATGAACACGTGGTTCACATGATATTTGTACTTCTCTGTGTAATTTAATGTCTCATATTGAGTACACATATTTTGAATACTCTGTATTTCTTTTCCCTTCCAAGAGTTACCTTTTCCAGGTGGTAGAGCTCACCTGAGGACAAAGGCAGCTTTGCCCCCTGACTGATCGGCAATTCTAAGGGCTCAGGGTTTGTTTCTTCCAAACAGCCCAGCAGCCCCAGCAGCCTCAAGAAAAAGAGAAGAAGTGGACAAGTACTGACACCCTACTGAGAGCCAGGTAGCCACTGCCCTCTAGACCAGCCTCTGTGCAGTTTCCGCCTTGGGGATTCATCTCCCGGGAAGACGGCCTGGCCAAGGGTAATTGAAGACCCCTTACTACAGTGATCTCACCTCCTGAAGGAAAGTCTCTGTGCAACCCACTTAAGAATGTTCAGGCTTGGAGGAGAACTAAAGAGGAAGCACAGCTCTCCCACACTTTCATTTTGAGGGGCTGTCGGCTGTGCGCTGGTTTTTGGAAGGACAGAAGCACAGCAGATCTCCCTTCATGGCATTTCCATTCCCAGATCTGGCATGGAGAGAGGGTAAGGACGGTGTGGAGGTGGAAGGGACAGGGAAGCCCTCAGACACAGAAAGTTGGGAAGGAGAATCATGCCAGGTCTTACTTTTTTATTCTCTAGCTTCCCAAGGGAGCTAGAAATGAGGGTTAGAAGCCAGGGGTTTGGACACAGAAAAAAAGAGAAGACAGGCTACCTTTGGAATGCAAGTGTGAGAGCAGAGATCTTTCAGACAGCACAGGCATGGCTGTGA